TCCTGTCATTCCCACCTCCTTCACTTGTCTTCTCCATAACTTTTTTCTCCTTCTATTATTTTTCCCCTCCGTGTTTTATTCATTCCATTCTCCATCATGTGTTATTGCCTTCTATTTTCCTCCTACTCCTTTTTCATTCTTTCTTCCTTTTCCTCTCTCTCTCTCTCTCCCTTTCTTACCCCCCCCCCCCCCCCCCCCCCCCCCACCCCCAGGAGTGACATCAGTTTGATGCCAGTCTCTCATCTCCCATCATTGTGCCAATTAGTTGACGCTCTGCACATTTAAAGTGCTCACCAACAGCAATCTTGATTTCTCCCTCGATGTCATGTGATGTCACACACCACACACACACACACACCACCCACATAAAAGGCAGACACACACACACACACACACACACACACACACACACACACACACACAATAATAAAGTGCCGGGGGCTGTAAGTAAGAGAAGTAAGAGCAGGAGTGATGGGGGACTTAGGGATGGAGCGATAGAGGGAATAAAAGTCTAAAACAAGAGAGAGGGAGATTAAAGAGGATATAATACTGGAGACAGAGAGGGAGGCTGGCAGGGCTGAAGAGAATAATAACAACCTGGACAAACCGCTGTCACGGTTGATGGTTCAAATCCTCCAAACTAAATGATTGTTTGTTAAGTTAAAGGACGTCGTACCGCTGCAGAGATTACATTACATTACATTACAGTCATTTAGCAGTCGCTTTTATCCAAAGCGACTACAATTCAGATTCTGTCATATCGTAGGCACAGCTACGGGAGCCACAGTCGCCCTTAAGAGATATCTTAAAGAGCAGTGATCTTCCAACAGAACCTTTCCTGTCTCACTTCTAAGACTTTGAGTCTGTCCAACACCTCCAGATGAACCAGAACACAGAGACACTCTGGACCAACTTCTCACTCACTGACGTAGACTTGAGCTTCAGGTGAATGGAGCTGAAGTTCTGAGTAAATTCATGAGAGAGCAGGAGAAGAGACGGAGGAAGAAGCTGGGAGACTGAGGGATGAGGGAGGGAAGACACCAAAGTGCAAAGAGAAGTGAGGAGGAAAGGGAGAAGGAGGGAGAGGTGGAATAGTTGGAGGAGAAATGCAGAGGAAGAGAAATGGAAAAAACACGCCGAGAAAAATGAAGCCAGACACCTTTTTGAAGAATAAAAAGCGTCAGGGGTTGGCCAAGGTAGTCTGACAATCAACACGCACACACACACACACACACACACACACACCCACACACACACACACACACACACACACACACCTCAGAGTGCAGTTTGAGCTGCTTGTAGAGCAACATGGAGAGAGAACTGACAGTCAATGTCAATCAAGATGCACTCAGCTGACTCAAGAATTCCTAAATACATGCACTTTTATTCTGAGTGTGTGTGTGTGTGCATCAAAAAGAGCTGTTAGCTAAACTGAAGTTGTTGACACAGAGAGGGAGAGAGAGAGAGAGAGAGAGAGAGATGAAAGAGAGAGAGACAGAGAGAGAGACAGAGAGTGAGAGAGAGAGAGAGAGAGAGAGAGAGAGACAGACAGACAGAGAGTGAGAGAGAGAGTTCTCCCACACATTAGCTGCAGCTCCACTTAATATTCCTGTCAGGCTCCACAAAGGAACTACTACACACACAAACACACACCGTGTCTCCACCATACCACCCCCCCCCCCCCCCCCCCCCCCCCCCCCCCGGTTAGAAGCCGGGTAATAAATTGGACCATTTATTAACATTTATTAACTTTGCTTCTCTGAGCCTCTTGATGTTTGTCCCTTTAGCATTAAGACGAGGCTGAAAACAGACCTGAGATCTGATCTCATCACACTGCCTTATGTATTTATATATAATATATGTGTTTAATACCCATTTCTTCGTTATTAAAATAAATATCCGTATGTGTTCATAAAATATAGATACAGACAATGAAATCTCCTTTTATTTTAGTTCGATTTATGTATCAGGAGCTAATTCTGAGCTGCTTTTACTGAAACATGATGGACAAAATGTATCCTTAGTTAACACACACACACACACAGTGTGTCTTCACATTCTGACAGTGTGATTTCACATTACAATGACACGTTCATCAATCAACATTATCAGTTTTGAGCATCGCGAGGTTATTATTATTATTATTAAATAACATGAGTAGCACCTTGGGAGTGATTCTATTCAGAAGATAAAGTGACAGGCGTCAGTGTCAGCAGCTGCTGTTGAAGACAAACGGTTCACCGTGTGAGGGAGGACGATCTCTGTGAGACAACATACGTCCTCTTACTGCTGACGAGAACGAAGACAAGCACTTTCTGATCTATCACAAAGAGAAAGAAGGAACGTAAAGAGACAACAGGAAGCTCACAGAAGAACTTAAAGAGACAACAGGAAGCTCACAGAAGAACTTAAAGAGACAACAGGAAGCTCACAGAGGAACGTAAAGAAACAACAGGAAGCTCACAGAGGAACGTAAAGACACAACAGGAAGCTCACAGAGGAACGTAAAGACACAACAGGAAGCTCAGACAGGAGACAGATAGAGAGACGCTGGTGTTAGAATCCTCATAGGACGGACATACTACGTCTCTATTTATGAGATGAGTGATGATGAAGGAGCCATTAATCAGAATCATCTATGAGAATTGCTTCACATTATTCCTATAATACACTCAAATAAAAAATAAAGTACAGAGTTTAAAGAGAGTTATAGAGGAACATCTTATTGATCCTGATGTTCATCATGTGTGTTTTGCACCAACAAGCTGATCAGTGATGAATAAGAAACTAATAACATTGGAACACTTTTAAGGTGAACAGCAGCATGCTGTTTGTGTGTGTGTGTGTGTGTGTGTGTGTGTGTGTATGCGTGCGTGCGTGCGTGCGTGCGTGCGTGTGTTCCTGCCTCATTAACTACATATTGTATCTACTGTTAATTATTGGTGAGCCTTTTGTGACCCGTCTCATGTGATTCTGAACTCTTGATTGATGAAATGAGGACATTTTGAAATAACTGATTTGATAAAGAAACTGTTTCTGTTACTGAACAACTCATCACTCCTTTATGTAATTATTACTTTGCTCTTTCTTTGTTTAGCTTAATGTTAATGAATTTATTCATTAATAAGCTCGGGTCCTATTTGTAGGCCTCTGCTCGAAAATAGCATACCCATACTAAAGTGACCATAGTTCTGTAACTACAAGGTCTATTTTAATAATTTTTGTTGCTATAATCAGATCACAACACTTGTGAGATTGTTCAGATGGGTAATATTGTGTATATGTTGCTGGTTAATATAGTAATGAAGACATTACACAGCTCAAATTGAAAATAATCAGGTTCGCCTGAAAAAAAAGCACTTTTATTGATATAAGGTTTTTGAAATAATGTAGATATCTCCCTAAAAACTCTCCCAAATCATAGCACAACCGATCAGTAGTTGCTGAATAAAGGTTAAAGTGGGATAAAGTGAAGAATAAGAGGCTTTAGTAGAGAGCGGTCAAGCGAGTTCATCATTTTCGAACCAGCTGTTGCAGCTCTTACATTGTACTTTTATATACTATATAACTATATATTTCACTTTTGTTATCACTCATATTATTCAATACATCCAAATACAGATGTTAGGAATCATTTTGAGATTCCTAACATCATCAGAGCCTCTTTCTGGCTGTCATCTATAGGATTTTCTCAGTTCATGTGTGTGTATGGGGCTGTAGCTCAGCCTATCATCGGTCGATTTCAGTCAATAAGCCCTCCTTCAATGCGTCAGAGTGTCAGGAAGGCGTGTGTCGAATTTGGTGTTGATTGACAGAAGTTTCAACCAGTAACGTTGCAAGAAGTGCCGCGTCTCCCCGGGCGTAAATTTCCGCTTGCAGGAAGTCTGACCGCTCGCCCATGCTGGATTGACCGCTCTTATTCTGGAAACAGCTCGGAAGTAAACAGGATGCAGTTAGCAACAATGATTCCAGCTTTGAAACGGATAATCTGCGACGTTATTGTACTCATTTTTCATAAAACCTGGCCAAAAACGTATGATTTTTTTCGGCGGAGGGCAGTACAATGGTACGATTGACCACTCACAGCTTTGTAGTGCTTGCACGGAGAGAAAAAACGAAGTTATTTACGCGTTTGGCCACGGGTGCTAATGCTATAAAATGCATTGCACGGCTTGGTAGCCGCTAGTATCAGGGTGCAAATATTGATTTGCGGTACTCATAAAGGCGATTTCTGGCCAGGATTTCATGCTTTTATGCCACGTTTTCTGGATGCTTATACTAGTAGTCTATAGTTGTGTTTGGAGTGTGTAAGAAGTGACTTATATGATAGTGTTGCCCATACGTTGCTGTTTAATCCGGGGAAAAAACTACCAATCCACAATATTACCGAAGAATAAGGCTATTTTCCGAACATGATTTTCAGGGGTCCTGAGCCCGAGAGCCCCCAAATTTGGGGGCGTCGTGTGCAAGATGTTAATGTTTAGCTAATGTGTTACTGCGAACAGGAGCTGTTTTTAAAGCGTTGCGTTCATGGACATCAGATGAATACTATACAGACTGTCTATTCAATAATCCTCCTTAAAGCAGGAATGTTGGTCAACTATAATTTAACTACACAAGTTATGAACGTCAGAGCGTCTTTGAACGCACCACAGAGAGTTCTCTAGTCATGGAGACACAGCCCTGTGTTTGACCAGAGAAACAGCAGCGATCAGTTCGTGGTACTGGATTAGATTCAGGGTCTTCAGGGTCTTCAGTATCGAGAACATTTGAGTGAACTCTATCTGGACCTGAAATCAAAGTCAGTCTTGAAGGAAACTGACATGAAGCTTTGGAAAGAATTCATCAGTCAGAGAGCCCTGACTCCTCGATGATGAATGAGTGAGTGATGTCCTCCATCAATCAAAGATGACCAGCCCTGCTGCTCCCTTCTAACTAGTATTTATGAAGTGAACATGTGATTTCACCTAAACAACTTCTGTCTCTCCTCTCCACAGGAAACCAAAATCAACTGTGTCCGCCTGGCTAACAAAGGTATGAGCAGCCTTCCACTTCTGGAATAGAGGATGTTATGTCTGATTTAACTTGTTAGTGATGTCGGCCCCTAGAATAGTGTCACACACACACACAAACACACACACACACACTAACACTCAGCCTTTAGTCAGCTCCTCTCCATGTTCTCCTGCATGACTCCTCTGCATCGCCTCGTCTCTTCTTCCTCTTTCATTGTCTCACGTTCTCTCTGTTCTTCATGGTTCCTGCTCTCTGTTCTCTCTGTTCTTCATGGTTCCTGCTCTCTGTTCTCTCTCTGCCTCCATGCTGCTCATGAGTGTATAAAGCGGAGCTTCAGGGCCGTTAACATGCTGATTGAGCGCCTTCATTACAGCCGATGACGGAAGCTAACCATCTCAGCCTCTCCCTATGTCTCCCATCTTTATTTGCTGCTCATCATTTGTGTGCCAGCCGATGTGCTTTGAAAGCTTTTCAGCTTGCTATTGATTTTCCTCATCTCGTCTCTTTTTTTCTATTCTATTATTTCATCTGCATCAAACATTGATTTGATTTTTCCACATCTCTGTGTGTTCTCTGATTCTTTTAGCTCCAGTATTGTTTCTCATCTGCATTCATTGCTCATTTGTGCACATTTCTCTCTGTAATCAGGTTTTTTTCTCTCACTCTATCCTTTTGCAGACTTGTTTTCTGGGTGCAAAGTACTGAGTGTGCTGTCTGTCTGTCTGCATGCATGTGTGTTAAAGACATGCTGTTCACTTTGTGGCTGTCTTTCATATGACTAAATAATTAAATAATATAAATACAAATAAAACTTTTTAAAAATGTATAATTAAGAGTGTTCCTTGACACTAAAAAGACTTGCAGATGATGAATTTATGTCTGCTAGCTGCTGTCCGCTCAACACCTCATGTCTGGTTTAATGTGTCCTAGACAGTGAAGTCAGCTGCTCACTAAAGACGTTAGATTCATACTTAGGTAAAGAAAATAGACAGAGTCAAAGATCCACGTGTTTGTCAGAAGGTGAATCAGTTTTGAGCTAGAGAGAGAAAAGAGGAGCGACATAATAACCAATAAACATATGCGGCTGTCGTGCTGCTAACTGTAAAAGCACAGTGACTGGTAATGAAGCCTAAACCAGCCAATAGCTGACCAGCTAAGAACCAGTGAGGACGCCAGCTGTCTATTGATATCAGGAAACTGAGTGTAGACGTGGTCCACATTGATCCACTCATTGTTTTTGTGTCAGAATAAAAGAAACCTGACGAACCAACACTAAACAAACCTTCAGAAGCTGAGCAGAGAGCTTTGACATTATTCCTGTTTTGTTGCATCACAAAGAGGAACTTGATTTTATGTCATGGACCTAAAGAAAATAATTCAAATCAGTGAGGTGGAAATAAAAAAACATGTTTTTAAAAATACAAATATGACATTTTTATTGGGCAGTAAATGACTGGAGCTGTCTGTCTTGTTTTCTTTGATCAAGTTATCATTAAATAAAGTGGAGATAAAGAGGAGACTCAGAAGGAAACGTGCTTACTCACCGTTTCCTCTCATTCAGCGTCGACTGTAGTTTAATGAACCTGAAAACCTGAAAACATTCAAACTTGAAACCTGCTTCTTTAACTTCACCAACTGAGGTTGAACATTTCTGCACTTTGCCTCTGAGAAACATTATTAATCCTTCAGATGAACTTTAGAGGCTCATGGTTGGTTAGCAGCCTGTCTCCATGGAGGTTTCCTTTAAGCCACCTGCTGCCTCAGTAGTCTCTCTAGACGAGGGTAACGTGTTATCTAAAGTGAACAAATGATTTGTGTTCAGCTGAATGATCCGTCTTTGTGTCTGAACTAAGAACCCAGCTGTCAGATTGAGTCTTTGCTCCAAACATTGCAACCAAGTTCTTCTGTTTTCTTTCAAACATCTCTTCATTTCTTTTCTCTTCCATTTCCTACTTTTATTTGTATTAACCCGTCGAGCCAGACCGGCCGACTCAGCAGTTCCCCCCGAGCACCACATCTGCATCCACTGAAACACATCCTGACACCAGAACCACTCACATCCCAGTCCACATCCTGACACCAGGACCACTCACATCCCAGTCCACATCCTGACACCAAGTCCAGTCACATCCCAGTCCACATCCTGACAACCAGTCACAACCCAGTCCACATCCTGACACCAGGTCCAGTCACATCCCAGTCCACATCCTGACACCAGGACCACTCACATCCCAGTCCACATCCTGACACCAGGTCCAGTCACATCCCAGTCCACATCCTGACACCAGGTCCACTCACATCCCAGTCCACATCCTAACACCAGGACCACTCACGTCCCAGTCCACATCCTGACACCAGGACCACTCACGTCCCCGTCCACATCCTGACACCAGGACCACTCACGTCCCAGTCCAATCCTGACACCAGGACCACTCACGTCCCAGTCCACATCCTAACACCAGGACCACTCATGTCCCAGTCCACATCCTGACACCAGGTCCAGTCACATCCCAGTCCACTTCCTAACACCAGGTCCAGTCACATCCCAGTCCACATCCTGACACCAGGTCCAGTCACATCCCAGTCTACATCCTGACAACCAGTCACAATCCAGTCCACATCCTAACACCAGGTCCAGTCACATCCCAGTCCACATCCTGACACCAGGTCCAGTCACATCCCAGTCCACATCCTGACACCAGGACCACTCACATCCCAGTCCACATCCTGACACCAGGTCCAGTCACATCCCAGTCCACATCCTGACACCAGGTCCAGTCACATCCCAGTCCACATCCTAACACCAGGACCACTCACATCCCAGTGCTAGCTGTCCTACTGGTCTTAATGGTTGTATCCCTCACCACTGCAACTTCTCTCCTCTAAGACAGATTGTGCAATTGAAAAGTGTAAATATTGATGAAATGGATAAAGAAAACTCTACGTCTATTTTTCTTAGCCTCTTTTCTTCTCTCTCTTCTCTTTTTGTTGTTGTTGGTTTTCTTCCCTCTCTTCTTCATGCTTTCCGGCGGGACATGCGGTCCTTGGCCTTAGTGGTAATAGGTAGGGGACAAATAACAACGCCGTATATTCTAGTCATCCCCAGCGAAGGTGATTATTGCTTCATAGGCACAACATTTCCTTCCCTATGTTCTACTTTTTCATCAAAGTACAGCCATGAACACGATGCACTTTCTGTTGGTTGCCCCCATTATTTCTCCTCCTTTTGTTTCTGGACTCTTTCTGTTTTTTACTCTTTGGTTTTTATCTCATCTTCATCTTACTGCATTAGTTGCATGTCTGCTCTGCTTCCAGTGTCGCTGGCTGTGTTTGAACCTCTTCTTTCTCTGTCTGGCGCACACACACACACACAGACACACACACACAGTGGAACCATGCTGCTAGTATGAGGACAGTAAACTAAAGACTTCTGAGAAGGAAACACTGAAAATCAATGAGAAAATAAAGGAGCTGAATTCATTTTGATCTTTGTTTCTCTCTTTAAATTAACCGACTTCAGTGAAGATACATCAGCTATTTACTGTCGGCATGGTTCCACTCTGACATGTCTGATGAGCTTTCATTGAGTGAGTGATTTGATGAAGACTTGTGGAGGATGATGATGACTCCCTAAATTCAAAACAGTGTGAGATCCAACACACACATTTTATTGGTAAAAGGCCATAAACAAAACTCTTCAACCTGCCTTCAGGGGCTTGATTACTTTAATATTGCATTTTGCACTTTTTCCATTCAACATGGCGCCGAGAAATTATTCTTTTACACAATAAGTTTCATATAACGTTGTTGTGACAGACCAAAAGCCCTGAAACACTTCTCTTAACTGCGTGAGTGTCTCGTTCCCTCGTTTGGCCGATCACACATTCAGAATCGGTTGTTTTGGTGGTGGGTTGATTTTAAAGGCGTTGGCTTTGATTTGAGCCCTAAATCATTTTAATCTTCCTCCAACGATCAAATCCCTCCTCAGACACAGAGCTCACCCTGCAACCTTCGCCTCCCATCATGCTAACCATTATGAATGTGACCATCACATACTGGACATTACTGTCATTCTATCGTATGTTGCACTAATAATCCACATTGTGAGTCCTGGTCCCAGAGGGGACACTAAAAGAGAGTCCTGGTTCCAAAGGGGACACTAACAGAGAGTCCTGGTTCCAAAGGAGACATTAACAGAGGGTCCTGGTTCCAGAGGTAACACTGACAGAGAGTCCTGGTTACAGAGGTAACACTGACAGAGAGTCCTGGTTCCAGAGGTAACACTGACAGAGAGTCCTGGTTCCAGAGGGGACACTAACAGAGAGTCCTGGTTCCAGAGGGGACACTAACAGAGAGTCCTGGTTCCAGAGGGGACACTAACAGAGAGTCCTGGTTACAGAGTGGATATTAACAGAGAGTCCTGGTTCCAGAGGTAACATTAACAGAGAGTCCTGGTTCCAGAGGTAACACTGACAGAGAGTCCTGGTTCCAGAGGGGACACTAACAGAGAGTCCAGGTTCCAGAGGGGACACTAACAGAGAGTCCTGGTTACAGAGGGGACACTTACAGAGGTCTCCTGGATGAGAGTCCTGTTTGACACACATCCACCTCCTCACTGCAGCTTTTGTCACCCTTTTACTTCCTTGTTGTCAAATAAGTGGATTAAATATGAATTGATGTCATGGGATATATATGAATTACATTACCTTTGATAGTTAAAGCCATGAACACTGAATGAACCTTCTGTTTTCTACCATAATGTTCATTTAAAAGAAGTGTGTTACATCTGACAGAAAATATAATCATTTTGTCTCTGTGATGATCAGAATGTTTTCCAACCTTTTGACCTTCATCAGTAACGCTGCTCTATAATGTATTTAAATACATATCCACTCTGAAGAACTGCTTTGAAGTTAAAATCCTTTATTTTCTGTTACTGGACTTATTATCTTTCATGAGACCTCATGAGGATGAAACTGATTTACATGATAGTGAAACCATTTCCTGTGCTAGTGGTCTTTTTAGTCCCGCCCACTTCTTTACAACCCAGGAGCTAAATATGAGCTCAAGCGTTTACTGGATTTCATTCAGTCATGCAGACACATAACTATATATGAATATGAACGTCATTGAGCTAAATAACAATCAGAATGTTGACTTGAACAATAGAGACACAATCTGTGCTAAACTGCTGTCACAGTGGTCCACAATGTGACTTCACATGAATATAATAATTCATATTGTCCTGAGGGAAATTGAGGTTGCAAGGCCGAGCACAAAGAAGTATGCATGTCATGTACAACAGCAGACGCTCGTCAAATCCTAAATGAATGACTGTAAACATTGTATTGTTATGAAGCGGATTCTTTACCTGAGGATGGAAGCAGAAAAACTGTGCTTGCATTCCAACGTTGTTTCACTGCAATGCTGAACATTGAACGGATACCTTTTACCACTTATTACTTTTTGAAATGAACAGAAACATTATCCTTGAGGCATGATTATTAACTAAAGCACTGCATTCATCCTGTCACTCGTTAATTAGTTGTAGTCACATAAAAGCAAACACTGAATACTGAGTTATGCGTCTGTGAGTAACATACGCTTTTCATTTTATTCATTGATAGTCTCGAAGCAGCTTTACAGAAACATTATGTATTATATTAGTTTCTACTTCAATCAATTTAAACAATGAAATCACAATGTGGACTTTGTTGGAGCTGGTTCCTCTTTTAGCAGCCCGGGAGCTGCTCTTCTTCTTCTTCTTCTTCTTCTTCTTCTTACATCACAAAGTTTAAATGGTCTCCAACCCGAGAACCTCAAATACAGAATCTGTCTCAATATCTCAACGTCTCAATGTCTCAACATCTCAATATCTCAATATCTCAACGTCTCAACATCTCAATATTGTGCATAAATGTGTGCACACACACATTTAGGTTTCCCCTCTTGTTGTAGCATCGTGTTTGCACACATATTTAGGTTTCCCCTCTTGTTGGAGCATCGTGTTTACACACACATTTAGGTTTCCCCTCTTGTAGCATCGTGTTTGCACACACACATTTAGGTTTCCCCTCTTGTTGTAGCATCATGTTTGCACACACACATTTAGGTTTCCCCTCTTGTTATAGCATCGTGTTTGCACACACACATATAGGTTTCCCCTCTTGTAGCATCGTGTTTGCACACATATTTAGGTCTCCCCTCTTGTTGTAGCATCGTGTTTGCACACACACATTTAGGTTTCCCCTCTTGTTGTAGCATCATGTTTGCACACATATTTAGGTTTCCCCTCTTGTTGTAGCATCGTGTTTGCACACATATATTTAGGTTTCCCCTCTAGTTGTAGCATCGTGTTTGCACACACACACATTTAGGTTTCCCCTCTTGTTGTAGCATCGTGTTTGCACACATATATTTAGGTCTCCCCTCTTGTTGTAGCATTGTGTTTGCACACACACATATTTAGGTTTCCCCTCTTGTTGTAGCATTGTGTTTGCACACACATATTTAGGTTTCCCGTCTTGTTGTAGCATCGTGTTTGCACACATATTTAGGTTTCCCCTCTTGTTGTAGCATCGTGTTTGCACACACACATATTTAGTTTTCCCCTCTTGTTGTAGCATCGTGTTTGCACACACACATATTTAGGTTTCCCCTCTTGTTGTAGCATCGTGTTTGCACACACACATTTAGGTTTCCCCTCTTGTTGTATCATCGTGTTTGCACACACACACATTTAGGTTTCCCCTCTTGTTGTATCATCGTGTTTGCACACACACACATTTAGGTTTTCCCTCTTGTTGTAGCATCGTGTTTGCACACATATTTAGGTTTCCCCTCTTGTTGTGGCATTGTGTTTGCACACACACATATTTAGGTTTCCCCTCTTGTTGTAGCATCGTGTTTGCACACACACATCTGGGTGAATTGTTGTATGAGTCTAAGAGGTCAGGTTGTAAAGTACTCACCAGCATCTGGGGATGAAGAGGAAGAGGAGGGGCTGATGAAGGAGGCAGGAAAGATGAGGGCTCAATGTTTGATTGAAACATCTATCTGGATGTTTTTTTTGTTGGGGACAGTCTGAAGAGGCTTTGCAGCAAAAACTGTGGCAGGAGATGATTCAATGAGTTCATGAGAAAAACAGAGTGATAAATAATAATAATAATTCTGCTCATTCGAATCATCAACACATTTCTGCTCACTTGGGCTTTTATTTTGGGGAAAGTTGAACAGTGTTAACACTTTGACTGATTTAAGATGAATCTTTAGTTCAAATCTGTAGATTGTTTCTGTAACGACTGTTAGCCCACAGAGACGGACAAGTAAGGAACTAACTGAATGAATGAATAAGTAAATATACAACAATATTAATAATAATGATAAGTTGCTGGACAGCCTCTAATATCTAAGCACTCGTTAAATGTTCTGCTGCTTTTTAGAAAACGTTTTGTCTTTCAAAACAAAACTCAACATCTAATAATGTAACTTTTGTAATGTTTCACTCAGAAGTTTCAAAAGCACGATTTGAGTTGTTACTTTATCCTAGACTTTAGAGACTGATCCAATAATATTACAGTTCCTTCTGAAGTCAATCAAATTAATATACAGTTTAATTCCATGAATGATGAGCAGATTATTTAAAATCACAGCATTGTGTCATGAACTTGTTTGTTAGATATTAAATTACAGATTGCATCGTCTCATGAACTGTAGCTTTACATGAACTAAAGAAGAGGCAGAACTTCTACATTTTTGCATTTTGATTAAACAAGGTTGAGCATTACTCGTTATTTCATATCATCATGTGTGATCCTGAATAATTCTTTGCTGGGATTTAAGGAGAAATATATGTTGTCCTGAAGTTAATTATTCGTGAGTATGAATCTAAAGTTCTTATAATAACTTCATGATTCATTTTTTGTGCTGTTATTGTAAGTCCCTCAGAATGAGTTTGACTCGTACAACGTGTCTCAAGGCTTTTCCTCTTCCTCCTTCCAGCCTTTGTGCTTTTGTGTCGCATCACAGCAGCTGTGTCCCATCATGCAATTCACTTTGGCCATTGGCTTTATTACCTTGTCAGAAACAAATTCTCTTTGAAGGGGAATCAAAGTTCTATGTGAACACATCGTGTTTGTGTTTCCACATCATTGATTTGGTCACCATATGACATGTTGCATTGCATTGTGGGATTGTTTTCAGATGCAGATTCAGATTCAGCAAGGGTAAAGAAACTGTCAACAGATCTGCATCGCAGAGAGAGAGAGAGAGAGAGAGAGAGAGAGAGAGAGATTTTTGAGCAGAAGTAGACCAAGTTGAATGTATCCAGTAATGAAGAATAGAAAACATTTAACTGGGTTAACATTAAACAGCTAAAGTACACAACTAGCAACACTGAGACATC